GTAAAGGGGCTTGTTAGCAAGACTAACATCCGTAGTTCAGTCCCTGGGACTGACATGGTAGAAGGAGAGAATGAAATCCTGCAAATTGTCTTCTGACCTCAACACCTCTCTCTCTCTCTCTCTCTCTCTCTCTCTCTCTCTCTCTCTCTCTCTCTCTCTCACACACACACACACACACACACACACACACACACACACACACCATAAATGTAAAAATAATTAGAACAACAATGCTGCACTAGTGAATAGTGGTATGCACATTAGATCTTTGGAAACTATTGCGTACACTTAGCATGCTGCACAAAGCAGGTAACACACTCATAGTGAGGGAATAGCTCCATTGTGATATCCTAGTCACTTTGCCCTTGTACATCTGGCTGGGTAGACAAAGGCTTGGTAGAGCTCTCAGGGTCAACAAAGTAGGAGAAAGGAGGTTGGGAGGAACCACTCAGGCTGTCATGACAAGTGTCCCATACCAGGAACTTCAATGACAGATGTGATATGGTTCTTCACTTACTTCCCATTTGTGGTGGTTTGGATAAGAATGGCTCACATAGGCTCACATATGCGGATGCTTAGGCATCAGGGAGTGGCACTATTTGAGGATTAGGAGGTGTGGCCTTGTTGGAAGAAGGCTTTGAGGTTTCAAAAGTCTACTCCTCACCAGGTCCAACAGTCCAACAGTCTCTCTCTCTCTCTCTCTCTCTCTCTCTCTCTCTCTCTCTCTCTCTCTCTCTCTCTCCCCCCCCCCCCCCGTGGATCAGGATGTAGTTCTTAACTACCTCTCCAGCACCATGTCTGCCTACATATTACCATGTTCCCCACCATAATGATAATGGACTATAACCTCTGATATTGTAAGCAAGCCCCAAGTAAATGCTTTCTCTTGTAAGAGTTTCCTTAGTCATGTGTCTCTTTGCAACCATGGAACAGTGACTAAGACACCATTCTGGGGGCTAGAAGTCACCATCAAGATATCAGGAATAGGGACTGGGAAGATAGTCAGTTCAGTGCTTTAGCAAACATGTGAACCTGAGTTCAAGGACCTAACTCTGTTTTTCTTTTTTTATTCCTACTATGCACTGGCAATGACTTGTCTTCCCGAGGCCAGTATGCTGCTGAATCAGGAGGATTGCAAGTTCAAGGCCTTCTTGAGCAACTCAGTGAGCCTTTTCCAGTGGAAAATTAGGAAGGCTGGGGATGGGGCTCATTGGTAGAGAGCTGGCACATGGCCCAGGTTCAATCTGAAACACTGAAAAAATAAAGTTACATACTAAAAGCTTGATCCTCAATGGAATTCTCAGGATTAGGGATAGGACCTTGAATATGTAGAGCCTAGTGGGAGGTGACTAGGCCATAAGGGACTATTCTTGATGAATAGGCTGAAGTTCCTCTTGAGAGATTGGGCTTGGAATGGGATTAGTCTTCTGAGAGTGAGTCAGATCTTCTGTGACTATGTGTTGGTTTGAATAGGTATGTCCCCCTAGACTAATGTGTTTGAATGTTTGGCTCATACAGAGTGGCACTATTAGGAGGTGTGGCTTTGTTGGAGTAGGTGTGGCCTTGATAGAGGAAGTGTGTCACCGTGGGGATGGGCTTGGAGGTCTCTTATGCTCAAGCTACACTCAGTGTGGCACCCAGTCTCCTTCTGTGCCTGTGGGTCAAGATGTAGAACTCTTGGCTCTTTCTCCAGTACCGTGTCTGCCTGCATGCTGTCATGTTTCCCACCATGACGATAATGGACTAAACCTCTGAAACTGTAAACCAGCCCCAATTCAATGTTTGCCTTTATAAGATAAGAGTTGCCTTAGTCATGGTGTCTCTTCATAGCAATAGAATCATCCCAACTAAGGCAGACTGTGACACTTCTCATAAGAGTGGGTTATTACATATCAGATTAGCCTCCTGCCCTCTTCGTCTTTGTCATTGTCATTGACATCGTCATCATCATCACGTGTACATGATGTGGGGGTTATGCATGCCACTTTGTACAGCCAGTTCTCTCCTTCCACCTTTACATGGATTTGAGCTTATGTCACCGGGCTTGTGTCATAAGAACCTTCACTTTCTGAGCCATCTTGCTGGGTCCTTGCTTCCTGCCTCTTGCATACATACTTCCTCCAAACATACTCTAAACCCCTTCCACTGCTTCACTGTGTTTTGATGGAGCCTGAGGCCCTCACCAGAATCCAAGTAGGTGTCAACATGATAACCTTGGATCTCCACAAAAGAGAGTTTTTTTTTTTTAAAAAAAAGCTTATTTGGTGGCATATGCCTATAATCCTAGTGTTATGTAAGATGAGGCAGACAATCTAGAGTTCCAGGCCAACCTGGGCTACATAGCAAGACTATGTCACATACTCACAAAATGAGAGCCATGTGTGGCGACACATGCCTTTGAAACTCAGTCCTGGAGGCAGAGACAGGCAGATATCTATAACTTCAAGACCTATTTGATCTACATAGCTAATTCCAGTGTTAATTTCACTGGGCAAGAATAAGACCACTACCACAAATTTTGAGGCAAATCTGAAGCAACCCTTACAAAATACTGACCAGGATGATGAACATTGGCCAGGTTCATACCTGGCATTCCCAGAGTCTGGCACCATATTACATTAGTCAGAAGCTTATATGGGCAAAACCCACAAGGCTTTTGGGGGCAAGCATACATCCTCACATACTTCCTGCCTATGTACCTCCCACCTATGTGTAATCAAGCACATCCTGTGCAGTTGAGGCAACCAAACTTGTATACAGAATTGAAAACACGGAGCTTTTATCTTACTTGAAGGACAGCCCTCAGCATTCCAGGAAGTTATATGTCCTTGGGCAAGTGGGGCTTACAGGTAAGAGACATTTTGTTCTATAGATCTCTTAAGTGCAATAATTTAAACATAACTTTAGCCCTCATACCAGGTCAGCCAATGCTGCATAGTGGCACCCTGTCTCAAACAAGTAAACAAGAGGGGACAAGAGAGATGATTTAGTGGGCAAAAGGTTTTCCCCTGCAAATGTGAGAATTTGAGTTTGAACCATTAGAACTCAGTAAAAGCTGGACATATAACTCTAGACAGCATCTGTAATCCCTGCTCTCTGGATGGGAGGCAGAGACAATACACCTGCATGCTCCCATGCATGCTAGCTTGGTCTATGCAAAGATGAACAACAGAAAGCTGGATCTCTTAGTTGCAAGGTGGCAAGTGAGAACTGGTGCCAGAAGTAGTCTTCTGATGTCTATTCCTCTACCTATCACACCATGAGCACATACACACACTCACATGTACACCTTCATACACACACACACACACACACACATACTCACACATTCACACTCAGATATTCCCAGTGGCACTTGTCTTTAGTCTCAGTACTTGGGAGGAAGAGGCAGGAGCATCTCTATGAGTTGGAGGCCAGCCTGCTTTCTATAGTGAGTTTCAGGACATCCAGGGCTACAGAGTGAGACCTTGTCTCAAACAGAAAAAAAAAAGTAATTATAAAAAAAGTAAACTGGAGAATAAGAGAAGACACTCACTATCAGCTTCTGGCCCCCATGCACATGTGCAAGCACATATACCTGCACACATGAATACACACCAAAATGAAGAAGAGGGAGGGGGAGAGGAAAAAGGGGAATTTAATAGGGTCTGAGGTGTAGCTCAATGTTAGAGTTCAGACAGTTAGCATGCGTGAAGCCATGGATTCAATCCTTACTATCAAAAAATAAAAATAAAAATAAAGCCCAAGAAATTGAAAATAAGTAGTAATGAATTGAGTATAGATAAGGGCCTTAGATACAGCTTGATGGGAAAGTGCTTGTCTAGCATGCTTGAGCGCTGGGCCAGATCTCCCCCACTGCAAAACAAAACAAAAGATAAGACACAATTACAGTGAATACATGTGTGCATTTGAATATTAAGCAGATCCTTTTGCATATGAATAGGTAGCATTGATGACCCTGGAAGAAGGAGGAACAGAGTTCCCAGAAAGGTAGAAAAAGGATTTTAACATTTTATACATATTTCATACATCAGTGCCCACCCCCCAGGATGTGTGAACTGCCGAAAGTGGGAAGGAGGGCTGGAAAGCGCGTGCAAAAATTGGAATCTGTTTGTGTTGTCCTTGGGAATGTAAAATCCTGGAGGGTCTGTGGAAGACAGGAACCTAGGCAGAAAGGGCAAATAGGTCATGAGCTCCCGCAGGGGAGACATCCCAGCCCGTCCAACTTACAGATGACTTCCTTGTAGCCTGGGTTAGATAGGGAGATTTCTTCCCTGCCCTTTGTTCACAAGCAGAGTGAAAGGACACAAGGTTGAAAGGTAAAGAGAACCAGAAATCCAGGTGCCTTCCTCCACACTTTTAGCCTCTGTTTTGCCTCTTCCTGTCACCTCCTTTGCAGAACCCCCCAAAGCCCTGTATTACAATAGCTATTGTCCAAAGCTTTTCACCAGGTCCACCTTACTGCTAACTTATTGCTGGTTGAGTCTATATGGGACTGTGTCCTCACCCTGCCTACAAGCTCCTTAAAGGTAAAGTGGTACAGTACCTGTATCTACAGTGCCAACTAACTCCAAAGGCTGAGGCTGGAGACCACAGGAACCTAGGCCTTAGACAGTCTCGGCAACACAGTGAGACATTGTAAGAAGAAAGTGAATGAATGAATGAATACAAAGAGGGGGTTTCTCAAAGGTAAAAACTTTAAAAACAAAACAAAACAGAGTTTCTCTTTGTAGTCTTGGCTGGCCTGGGACTCACTCTGTAGACTAGGCTAGCCTGGAAGTCAGAGATCCTTTTGCTTCTGCCTCCCAAGTCCAAGTGCCACCATGCCCCCACTAAAACTGAGTCTTAAACCTATAACCTCAGCACTTTGGGAATCTGAGATAGGAGAACGGAGTTTGAAGTGGGCATGGGGTACACAAAAACATCTGTGGAAGAAGGAAGGGAAGGGAGGGCAAAAGAAAAATTTAAAAGAAAAAAAAAACCTTTCCTCTACTTTGCAGAGACACTGTCTAAAAGAAGAAAGAGAAGAAGGAAGATCAGAGGGGATGAGGAAAAAGAAGAGAAGGAAAAAGAGGAGAAAAGGAGAGAGCAAAAAGAAATGAAGAAAACATACCAACTCTTAGCTGCTTCTAACCACTCTGGCTTTTGGGGGGGCCTGGGAGAGGGCTTGAGACGGGGTCTCTCTATGGAGTCCTGGCTGGCTTCAAACTCACAGAGATCCACCTGCCTCTGCCTCCTGAGTGCTGAGATTAGAGCTATGCATCACCGTGTCTAGCAGCCATCAGATTGGAGGTGGGGCAGGGGTCTTCATTGCATATTCATAAGTAAAAAGAAAGGCTGTGTATTGTGTTTCCAAGCATGTGACAGCTGGCCGAAAGGCAGTCTGGAAGAGTCAAACTGCAGAGACAGTAACAGAAAAGAAATAATTGCTTTCCTAGTGTTGGGGATGGGGAAGGATGAGTAGGTAAGTCACAAGAGGAGGCTCTGTTTTGGTTTTGGGACGTGGTCTTCTGTAGCTGAGGCCAGCCTGTGACGCATTATGTAGCTGAAAATGACTCTGAATTTCAAATCCTCTGACTTCACCTGCTAAGTACTGGGGTTATAAAGATAGCACCATGTTGTATTTTATGCATTGCTGAGGGCTAAACCTAAGGTTTTATGCATATCTGCCCCCCTGAGCTACATGTGTTTCATGTACTTGGCCAACTGAGCCACACCCTCAACCCTGAACCAGCTTGGTTGTTTGAGGCAGGGTCTCACTATGTAGCCCAGGCTGGTCTCGAACTCACAGAGTGAGTGCTGGGTTCAAAGACATACCACATCCAGCTCGAATCAATATTTTGATGCAAGATATTGATAATAACAGAAAATGGTCCTAGAATGTATGAATTCTAAACTTACAGATTTAATTAAAACTGAAGGGGGAGGGGGAAGAGAGAGAGAGATCCAGAGTTGGTTAACACAACGCAGGTTACATGATTGACATTATTTAGTCCCAAGACTGATAATTCCCAAGTCCCACTGAAACCCTATTTGAAAGTGTAAGGAGGATAACCCAGGGGAATTGATTCTCTCTGTCCATCATTTGGATTCTGGGAATTCAACTCGGGTCTTCAGGCTTGGTGGTGATAAGCACTTTTACCCATAAATCTGGCCTATTATTATTTACATGACTGTTGTTGCCTGTATGCATGTAAGTGCATCACTTGCATACCTGGTGCCCTTGGAAAGCAGGAAAGGTTGTTGGATTCTTTGGAAGTGGAGTTACAGATGGTTGTGGGCTGGTGAGCTGGGAATCCAATCCAAGTCCTCTAGAAGAGCAGCCAGTGCTTGTAACGGATGTGTCATCCATCTGTCCGGCCCACATTTCTTTTGTTTGAGAGTCTTACTTAGGTAGTCTGAACTAGTCTGGAACCGGTGATCTTCCTGCTTCTGTATTCTGAGTGCCAGGATTACAGATGTGTGCCACTATATCTGGCTCTTTTATAGTCCCTCACCCCCGCACCTCACACACACTCAGCTTTAGAAACCAAATCCAGGGCTGTAAGCATGCTAGACAAGCACTCTGTCATTGAGCGGTACCCCTAGCCTCTGGTTGTTGGAAGCAGTCTCGCTATCTAGCCCAAACTGCCCTTGAACTCATTATGTAGTATAGGCTAGCTTCAAACTCACTATTTAGTCTAGACTTGCTCTGAACTTGTGGCTATCTTCCTGCCCCAGCTTCTTGATAACAGAGATCACAAGCCTCTACTCACATCCTAACTGTTTAAACATTTTTTTTTTTTTTTGGTTTTTTTTTTTTTTTCGAGACAGGGTTTCTCTGTATAGCCCGGGCTGTCCTGGAACTCACTCTGTAGACCAGGCTGGCCTCGAACTCAGAAATCCGCCTGCCTCTGCCTCCCGAGTGCTGGGATTAAAGGCGTGCGCCACCACCGCCCGGCAACATTTTTTTTTTTAACAGAGAAGCCTAGTGGACTTCATTGCATTTAAGATCCTCTTTCTAGACTTTGCCGCCACCTTGCCTATCTTAGTCTGGCTGTGGTGCTCCCAGATACTGCCTGGCAGCACTTGGCTCAGGCATACTGCATACAGCTTGGTCTCCTTGGAGAATTAGGAGAGGGAGTTAAACTGGGTAGTGATAGTGGCATACACCTTTAATCCCAGCACTTGGGATGCAGGGATGCACAGAGAAATCCTGTTTCAAAAAAGAAGAGGAGGAGGAGGAGGAGGAGGAGGAGGAGGAGGAGGAGGAGGAGAGAAGAAAGAAGAAGGGGAGGAGGGAGAAAGGGGGAGAGAAAGAGAGACAGAGAGACAGACAGAGAGACAGACAGAGTCGGGGGATGCCTGACTGCAAAGCAGCTTGTGGAGAGTGTACAGGGAGGCACACTGCAGAGGAAACACAAAAGCTTGGCTGCCAAGAGATATTTATCAAGAAACAGCTTGACCAAAAGGCAGTGGGGTGCGACAGTCATTTCTGGAGGCTGGTTTGTTTCCACAGCAAACCAGGACAGGCACCTATCACAGACACACATCAGTGCCTTCCATCCACCAGCTGTATCTACAATGCAATGGCAGCAAGGACTTTAGTCCCTGCCCTGTTGTGTCGGGCACCAGACATTGCCAGATTGCCTTTCCAGCATCTTAACCTAAGGGTGCAGGCATGCAGCAACTTAGTGCCTCCAGCCCTGGGTGAGGTGGGGTAGGTGTATGGGTGAGTGTGTGTGTGTGGGGGGGGGGAGGGTGATCCTCACCACTGGGCTTAAGAGGGTGCTTGCTTCCTGCTGTTCCTGGCTCCCAGGTGACTGCTTCGCTCAGCTGTACGCTGCGCCACCACCCTCTGTTTCATTTATCATCCTTTCCCTCTGATGCCAGCTTCTGATTAGAGGGCTAGAAAATAAGCCTTGAGAGAGAACTAATTACTTAAGTGGAGGACAGAGAGGGAGGCCAAGGAATGGCTTGGTAACAGCTTCCTCGTGCCACCAGGGTTATTACCAGAGACTGAGGTGACCACCATTGTCTTAGGTCAGATTCCGTGGCAACAGAACCCCAGACAGGGATTCTCAGGCAACCAACTCGTTGCGGGGTGGGGCTCTCAGAAGGAAAAGATAAACACTGGCAGAAGCCTGTTAGCAAGAGAAAGATGCTCAGTGGAAAAAGAGATTCTTCAAACGTTAGCCTCACCTGGTAGTGTCTTGGGGTCTCTTTCTGCACTACGGATGATAACACATCACTGCTCCTATGCTTGACACAAAAGGTCCAGGCTTTTATACCCACAAATGGATGAGTTATTGACTGATTTCCTTCCCCCCACCCCCCATGGGGACCAGGGAACATATCAGCCCCAAGTCATCATTTCTAGGTGGGCTTGTTCTCCTAGGCTTAAGCTAAGGGTCACTGTGGCCAAGGCTCCAGGATACCCAGCAGGACATCAACAGGCTGGCTTCGGAAACAGTAGCTGGTCTGGTGTGGTGGTGCGAGCCTGTCACGCTAGCACTTGGTAAGAAGAGGTAGAAGAACTCAAGGTCATAGGTGACCTGGAAGCCAAAGTGAGACCCCCCCCACCTCAGTAAACAGTGGCTGAGGGTGTAGCTCAGAGCAGAGTATTTGTCCAGCCTGTGCCAGGCCCTGTATTAGTTAAGTAACAGGTTTCAGTATCACAAAAGGAAGAAAGGAAGGGGGTTAGAGAGATGCCTCAGATGGAAGGTGTTTGCCACACAAGCAGGAGGACCCAATTTCAGCTCTCTAACACTCTCTTAAAAAGTCAGGCGTGAGCTGTGCTCTTCCAATGCCAACACTGAAGAGGTGAAGGCAGGACAATCCCAGGCCACATTGGTTAAGTGAATCAATGAGCTCAAAGGTCATTGAGAAACCCTGTCTCCAAAAGAAAAAAAAAAAAAAACAAACAAGGTGAATGGGCCAACAAGATGGCTCCATGATGATGTTTTCCACTGTGCCCAGTGGTCTGAGTTGGATCCTAGAAACACAAGTAATAGGAGAAACCCCACCCCCATGTTATTCTCTGACTGCCCTAGATACACTGTGGCATATCAAACCCACTTATTTATACATAATAAATAAATAAATAAAGTTTAAATTTTTTAAAATGATAAAGTGTGCCAGGTGTGGTGCATGACTTAAATCCCAGCACGCCGGAGGCAGAAGTGAGTGCATCTCTGTGAGTTCGAGACTGACCTACATACAGTTCCAGGCTAGCTAGGGCAACATAGTGATACCATGTCTCAAAAAAATATATATCAATCAATCAATCAGGTAAAGAGGCATGGAGGAAGACATACAACTTTTGGCCTCCACATGTCCTTGTACACATGTGCATGAACACCCACACATATACACAAATGTGTACACACACACACACACACACACACACATCAAGTAAACAGAACAAGAGCACTCCAAGCAGAATCTATAGAAGTGTCTACATGGTTAGAGCCTCTCCACTGCCTATTGCCACGGAAGATGAGAGGGGACAGCTTCCACTCAGGTGGGCCTTGGTAAGCAGTCGCCAGCAGGATGTCTTCCAAAATGATCCAATATGACACTCACTGGGAACCACAGCTTGTGACCCTATAGTCACATGCTTCTCTGACAGACCTCAAGGATTCCCTGGGAAGCATCCAGAAGTGGGTTAGCTTTAATAACAGCAGCAGGGGAAGAGGTTCCTCTGTCAAGTGCTATTCTGAGTGCTGAAAATCTCATTTAATCCTTAAAAGAATCCTCAAGTGAGCTGTCCCCATTTTATAGATAGAGAGACTGAGACCCAGCTGTGTTCATTAATTTGCTCATGTTGTGCAGCTAGAAATAGCTCTCATTTGGCCTTCACATGTGCTGTGGCAAATGCATACAGACATAAATAAATAAGTATAATAAAAAAATCTACATGGGCTAGAGATATGGCTTAGTAGTTAGGAGCACTAACTGTTTGTCAGCTACGCCAGCATAGCTGACTGAGTTCCTTGGATCTGCGGAGGGCTGAGAGCGAGAGAAAGAAAGACAAGGAGTCATCTGGTAAAGACCAAATGCTCTATTTTCAACTGTGTAGCTCCCTTTTATACTCCCCACAAAACAGGAACACAAACAGGAACAGGAACAAAACAGGAATAAGGAGACACACTTGGCAGCCTACCACCTAAGTTTGGATTTCACCTTGAGCAGTCTTCTCAGGGAAATGCATAGAGATGGGGGATCAGGCACAACAGCACAGGTGCAGAGGATGGTGACTCACAACTGTTCATCCAGCGGACCTGGTACTCGATTCACAGAACCCATGTAGGTGGCTCACAACCATCTGTAACTCCAGTTCCAGGGATCTAACTCTTCTGAT